GAACCTTTGTGTGAGAGTTTGCTGCCATTTCAGGCTGTCTGAGGCTAGGGACTCTGCTCCAACGTGGCACAAAACACTGCTTTGGGGATCTGAAGCGTAGAGAACTCTGGTCAGGAAGAGCTGAAGATGGACTCTGCTTAAGCAAGAGTAACACGTGAGCCTGCAACGCTGTCCCTCTGCAAAGTCCCAGCAGTTTCACAGCTGTTTGGTTTCTGTGGCAGGAAGCGGATAAAATCCTTTAACTTCTGTGTGGAAGGGAGCTTTACGAGGCGATGGTCTTTGGCCAGGCCTCTCCCTGGAGTCAACGCTGTGCTGAAACCAGGCCTAGAGCACACGCAAACCCAGACAACACAGACGCATTGGAATGGTGCTAATTCAGGCCAGCTTTCCCCTGTCCTCTGCCACACTGCAGATCTGTGATTTTTCAGCTCAGCTGAGGTTCTCTGTTACTGCTGCCAACTACTGGAGAGCCTGGAAAGGTGATGGCTGCAACAGGCTTGCAGCCTCTCCAGGCAGGTAAGAGAAGTGGGTGTCTGGTTTGGCTGAGGTCTCCTGGAAGAGCCCCAGTCAGTGTTCCTATTTATGTTTTAAGCAGCTAATGGTAAGGAGAATTGGGAGGCTAAAGTGAAGGGATCAGCTGTGCATAGAGGAAAAAGCAATAGCAAGGTTTGCTTGCCGTGGACTCCCTTGCTTTTGAGAAACAAATTGTCGGTGTAGACAGGGTACTGCACAACCCTGCAAACGCTCCCAGCAGAAGGGAGGCTAAGACGCAGTTTCAGTGCCAGACTCGTCTTGTGATTAGCACTGAGACCCTGCTGCGCTTGCAAGGAGCAGAGCTAGGGGTGCAGCAGGGAGGGAGCTAAACTCTCCGTAATCCTGGGCTGCTGAGGTGGTGATAGCATTAAGAGCCAATGTATGCTCCCAGCTGCCCGCAGTGCGCATAAGCCAGGATGTTTCTCTAACAATCCCTGGAGCCTTCCTAACAGTGTGCGCTTGCTTCTCTGCAGAAGCAGATGAAATTCCTGGAGCAGCAGCAGGAGGATAACAGAAGTTCAAAGGAGGAGGCCCGCCGCCTGCGAAACAAGCTGAGAACCATGGAGCGGTGAGATCCCGGGCTCTCCCTGGGCCTTGCAGGCTGGGCTGTGTGCCTCTCCGCTTCTCAGGGACGGAGAGGTCCTGCTGTTCCTGCTGCAACATCCACCTCCACATGCTGGGTTGTCTTACCCCGTAAGGTTGGAAACTGCTGTGTTAGCAGGCCTGCCCTTGCCTGTCTGTGCTTTTGCCCCTGCTATGTTTCCAGACGGCTGCCCTCTCTAAGCAGCAGCAAGACGTGCAGACTGGCCTCATCTCTAGTGCTTTCAGCGTGGCTACATGCCATTCCTCTTATCAGAGGACACTGTGGCAGAATCCCAGCCCAGGAACCGTCAGCCACAGGGCTGTAAGGCCCAAGAGCTGGGCCATTGGCCCCATGTGCAGTATGTGTGTACAGCTGCCCCTTCTCTAGTCTGTTCACGTAGCGCTACTCTTCCCTAGCAAAAAGCCCTGCTTGTGGTGGGACAGTTCTCTCCCTTCCCTGCCACAACAGCTGGAGTGCCTGCAGCAGGAGCTTAGGCTGCACCAGCTCCTTGGGGGGGAAGCAGGGCTCCAGCCTCTTTCCCAGCTCTGTTTGTGACTCATGAGCTGAAGGTACTGAAGGTATTTTTTTTTTTTGTGCAGGATTGAGCTGTTGCTTCAGAGCCAGCGCCCCGAAGTGGAGGAGATGATCAGAGAGATGGGAGTCGGGCAGGCAGCGGTGGAACAGCTTGCAATCTACTGTGTCTCACTGAAAAAGTAGGTGCTGCGGGCTTGGCCCAGCTGGCTTGTGCTGTCCTGGATGTGCCCAGGGAGAACCCTCTGCCGAGTACCGACAGGCACACAGGCTCTGCGGGGCTCTTGCTGCCTGTTTGGGCCTCCACTGGGTTTTGACTGACAGATCCTGGGGACCTAGATTGGGGCCTGTCACACTGAACTGTTCCTGTTGTCACTGTAGTGACATACGTGTCACCATGGGAACTGTCTCCAGAGTTGTCAGTGTACCTATGAGGTGATGATTATTATTCCCTCTGTTCTCTCACGCCTGGGGGTGAAATGAGTGGATGAGGGGCTGCGGGTTGTACCCTCTGCTGCATTGCACTGTGCAGCTGTGGCCTCAAGCGTTCTCTGGCAAGGCAAATCTGCAGTGCTGCCCTCCCCTGCCTGGAAATCCATCTGGTCCTGCTGGGCAAAACCACAGCTTCTTTGGGTCTGTTCTGGTGGCAGCTGAATAACTGCAGCTTTGATACAAAGCTGTAATGAGGCAAGTGTCCCTGTAGTGTAATTGGGAATGAATGTGCGTGGCCAATAGTGTGAAGTCTCTGAAAAGTCACTTAAAGCAAAGTCCCCTATTTGCTGCCAGCATGGAGGCTGCTCTGTTGTCTGTCTGTCTTTTCAGCTGGTAACTCAAATGTCTCTGGATCCAGTTTCCATTTTGCTGGTGAATTCTGTTCATGCCCTGTTCTCAGGCATGGTATCCTGTGCAGCTTTTTTTCTCCTGTATGGTGTAGTGGTATGTTTGACACACTGTTGGCCAGTGTTAGTATGCTCAGCTCTGTTCCCTAAAGGGCTTTGTGTCTCCTGGGCTTTCTCTGGTGGCTCTGCAGTTGCAGAGCTTCAAATTAAGGGTCTTGGGTTGCCTATGAGAAGTTCTAGCTCAATCCTATTGTAAACAGCATGACTCTTCTGTTGTCTTTGCAGGGAATATGAAAACTTGAAGGAGGCTCGGAAGATCTCTAGTGAGATGACAGAGAAGCTGAAGAAGGAGCTGTTTTCTGTCAATAGCAAGGTAAAGGGAGAGTGAGAGTTGCCAGGGTGATATCTGGTCTGTAGATCCCTGTGAATAACTGTGGCCCAAGCCCTCTGCAGTGACCCCCTCCCACACTGAGCACTACTTGAGTGGTGCGGGTGGTGTGGAAGTGTCAGGCTGAGGTTTCTGGGTCAGGGTGTGATGCTGTGGTGAGCGAGCGGCTCATGGGCTGTTGACAGGAGTGTGGTCTCTGGGGACACTGGTGGGGCAGCATGTGCAGAGCCAGCCAGAGTTTGGCAGGGAGCCTGGACTGGAAGGCAGCAGCACGCAGGTGCTCTGCTGCTTCCACTGGGCTCTGGAAGCAGCACTGCGTTCATCCTGCCACACCGCTGAGTGTGAACTAGCTCAGCTGCCAGCCACTCCTGCTGCAGAATCGGAAGGAAGGTGGGAAGGGGTTTGGAGCCAGCACCAGTTGAGCAGGGCTTAGCCCTGGCTTGGCACAACCACAGTCACACCTAGCCTCATGCCTTCAGCCAACTGAACTGGGCCAGGGCTCCCATGTGATGTTGGGTCCAGGCAGGAGAGGTCCTCAAGGTGCGGTGAAGACATGCAGGTGGCTCTGCACAGAGCCTGCCTGGGCTGGTCCTGACCTGGCACAGTGTTGGAGCTGCTGATGTACCTCTGTTGCTGTCCTCCCCCTGCTCCAGGCCTGGCTGGGCTCTGTTAGGTCAAGTTGGGAATTGCTTTCTGTCAGTTTTGGTAGCAAGTCCCCACAAAAAGTGTGTGCGTGTAGCCTTGCTCTCCAAGGCGCAGGTGTTCCCTGGGGCATGCCCGCATCCAGGCTCACAGAGCGGGAGACTGTGGGTGGATTTGGCCTGTTTTTGTTACCTGGCCATAGCTGTTGTGGTCCTCTCAAATGGAGATTCTCAGATTGCTGTGCTGTTCCCCAAGTGAGTTAACCCCCTACATGAGGTGCTGTTGCTGCAATCGACCTGCTTCTGGCTGAGTCTGTGCCAAGCTGCAGTCACTGGCTTGGGTCAGGAGGATCCGAGTCAGTGCACTCAGGGCTCCGGGCTTGGCTGACGGAGAGCTGACTGTACGGATGCTTGTGGGCTGGCCCAGACTCCTGCACCCACAAATGTCTCTGATGTGGTAGCCGACCACTTCTCAACCCCTGCTCCTGGATCACTTCCCTGTTGAATCAGGCCTGTCCATGTGCCAGTACTGCTGATGCACAACCATCCTCCAGCCTGTGGTTTGTAATTCCTGTGCTCTGGTGTGTCCAAAGTCCTGCAGGAATTCAGAATGCAGCCACCAAGTGTTAAAGCAGGGAAAAGCTGTCACCATCAGGCATAAATGCTCTGGAAATACTATAGGAAGGTTTGTGTTGGGCAAGCAGCCCTGGAGGTCCCTCTGCAGGCAGCCTGAGGAAATGAGCAGGTGTTGGATTGCTCTGATATGGGAGAGATTGGTCAGACTGCCACAGGAAAACAGAGCCCTGAAACAGGGGGAAAGTAGCATGTGCTGCAGAGCATACCGCTCTCATGGGGGATCTGCAGTCTCCCTTACCTACATGTTGTAACTAGCACTCTCCTGTTTGGGGGTGTTTGTTCTGCAGCTGCAGAAAACAGTTTCAGAGTTGGAGAAGACAAAGGAGGAGTTAAAAAGCACCCAGAAGGATCTGAAGAATGCGGACAAGGAGATCTTGGTGAGAATATCATCCCTTGGTCTGCAGTAACTGGCAGCTGGCCATGGCCTGCAGCTGCAAAGCCAGGAGTTATGCTGGCTCTTCCTCAGTGACTAGGTTACCCAGCCCACCTTACCTCTCTTATCTGCCCCACCTCTGAGCTCCACCTGATGCTGATTTATGGAGAAGGGGCAAAGTATCTGCTACTAAATCTTTCCTTATCTTGCTGTCTGCTTTCCCTTTTCCCTCCAGAGTTTGAAGAAGAAAATAGACATCCTGCAGGATACTCTGAAAGTCCCATCTGTAACCAGAGAGACTCTCAGTCGACTGGTCTTTGAAAGGTTAGTGAAGTGTATCCTCGGATACAGGCCAAGGATGGATTGGCAGGTCCAAAGTAAGAGCTGACAGTTTAGTTAGTTGGGGAGGCAGAGACGTGCTAGTCTGGCAGGCATTGCAGCAGCGCGGTTGTCTTGCTCCTTGTATCCTACTCTTTTTTTTTTTTTCTTCTTGCTGCCAAGATGGTATTTGGTCTACCTGGAAAAAGGGTGTGTTGTGGAGGGTTTGAGTCGGGAAGGGAAGGAAGAATAGGCTATGTTTTGACAAACTCTGGCACTACGTCCTGCCAGGGAAATACCCCTAAAGCTGCTCTTCTGGTTGCCTCAGAGTTGGCGTTCCAGTGAGTGTGCGCTGGTGTATGAGGACTGGAGATCTTTGCAGGCGGAGGAACCTAGCCTGAAAAATGGCATCTCTTTTGTTTTTATCAAGCCTTTTCTTTCGAGGAGCCTGTCCTATTACCCCAGTACAGCAAGCTGGGCTGTGTACACAGAGCAGCAGTGTGCCACTGTGTTTCCCGGGGCTCAGGGTGCTGCTGCTATGGCACAGTCCATTCGAGGGTGAATGGTAGTTTGGGACACTGACTATAAACTCTGGGACTCAGATTGTCCTTTCTGTGACTTGTAAGCAGAATGGGCCTCTGATCCTGGTCCCACTGCTGTTTTGCAACTCAATCGCGTAGCGTGCAGCTTTCTCTTCCTCTTGTCTGCTGGGTGGCAGGCATTGGCCTCCTGATGGCTCATACTTTGCATGGTCTTGCAGCCCTGCTCCTGTGGAACTGCGGCACCCGAAGCTCCACCGCCCAGCCCACAGCGATGAGATCAATCTAGATGCTACTTTTGATGTGGACACCCCTGAACATCAGCCCTGCAGATCTCTCTTCAGCCCTGCAAAAAGGCAGAAGCTGGATAAAAAGCCGTGAGTTTTCCCTCCTCTTTCTGCTTCTAAAGGAGATCAAAGTCATCCTTCTTTGGAAGTTGCTGTGTGAGATCAGATAGCTCTCCAGCTGCCTGATGTCGTGCTGCAAGTTTCGTCATCATTTGCTTGGCCTTGTCTGTCCTTGCCAGCTCCACTTGAACAATAAATCTCTTCTGATTTGCTCCTTGGGCTTCTTACAGGCCTCCTGTGGTAAATTTGGCGAAGAAAGTTCTGAAGGAAACAGTGGAGGTAAAGGGACTAATCTTGATGTTTCTGTATCACCTCTTTGATTCTGCTCTTAATAAGCTTGGGATAAAGGACCCATTTTCTCCATGTAGGAGACGCTGTGACTGTAGACTGGCCCATCTGTAGAACCACTGTACATGCTTCAAAGTGCTTTGCAGTCTCCTAGAAAGACTATTGCTGCCTCAGGCCTCCTGAAATTGGGCAGGAGAGGGAGGATGGGGACCCATGTGCTTTCTTGCTGATTATCCTGCCTCAGATGTGCTTGGCAAACACAACGTGGGGGTGACCACAGGGCTGTGGGGTCAGCTAAGGGGGCTGTTCTCCCAGGCTTGCTGGGTGCTATGTCCTGCCTCCCAGGCGCTGCTCCATATGAGCCGCAGTGGGAGGTTTGAAGCTGCTGGTCTTTGGCCTGACGTGGTACAGCAGTAACTATTACCCTAAATAGCTGTCTGCATTATTAGTGCTCTCTGTATGTGGACTAAATTCAGCAGATCATGCTGGTTAAAGGGCTTTTCCTCATTATTTTGTGGGACAGAACTGGGCAGATGATCTGGAGGATGATGCTCTTAAAGGCCTCTTGCCAGCATTCATCAGGAACTCTTTTGTCTCCAAGAAGCCATCTTCGGGTAGCTTGCTGGGTCCCCACAAGAACAACATGGGCACTGTAAGTATGACTGTCCAGTTGGTGAGCTTGTCGAGGGCTGGCACTGCACACCTCTGTCCTGAAGTGACCCTACAGGAGGAAGCGAATCAGGCTTTTACCTTCCCACATACAGTGTGTGGAAAATAAATCTTGGAGCATGACCTGGCTACTTCCCAGTCCTGCAGAGCTCCAGGAATGACAGATGCTCATTTCCTTCCTGGCAGCAGATTATATAGCCCTCCATGTCCCATTCCTCCATCTCCTTTGGAGCTGGGGGTGTTTTCCTCATATTCCTCAGTCCCAGTGACAAAATCCTAAATCTTCCTGCTGCTTGGAAGGCTCAGGTTGCTTCAGAAAGTGCCCAAGATACCCGAACTTTACTAATACCCTTGGATCTGTCTTTTTCCAAAGGTGAGGGCTTAACACAAGTACTGAGTGTTTCCAGGTGCTTGTAATCCCTCCCCAGAACCTGTGGCCTGCAAGGCTCCCCCTTCCACATAACCAACACAAGAAGAGGTAGTCGAGGCTTTGGGCTGCTGCTCCAGGCTCATTTCTTTCTCTCTCCTAGGTGAGGATGGGCTACGATGGCTTGGGAGGCAGAACAAAGTTCATACAGCCTGTATCCTTTCCTGCAGCTCGTGTGGCAGTAGTGATGCTGTGGGGACCTCATCTCTGCTCCTCCTCTTTGGTCTCAGCCATCTTGAGGAGTCCAGTCCCCTAGCAAACCAAAAATGGGCTGGGATCCTCAAGGAACCATCAGATTTCTCTCTGACTCGGAGCTCAGCAAAGGCATCAAGGACCTGAACTTGCTGAGAGCGTTATCAGTGGTGGCTCCTTCAGAGAAGCAATCGGTACAATTTGCAGGGACTGCCTATGCCCTTGGGATCTCTGAGCAGCAGTGTAGCGCAGCCTTTTCCTGGATGCATGCCTGCCAGCCAGCCGTGCAGCCGAAGCGTTTGTTCCTGTGGGATGCTGCTGCTTGGCTGTGCTTGTCCTGGTGGGCAGCCCTGCAGCAGGTGAGGAATGGCTGAGCTGAGCTCACCCAGTGGGTGGGGAGCTGCTCTGACTCCCACTCCTTGCACAGGAGCAGTGTCCTCTCCCCTGCGGAGGCTGCCCCTTACCTACCTTCCCCAGGCAGTGCTGTCAGAGGGGTGTGTGATGCACCTATGGCTCTGACACCGCTCTGGCTCCTGGTGCTGGTTTTGAGGGGGTTTTTGCTCTTTGTAGAAAACCAGGAGGCTGAAGCAGAGAAGTGATGAGCTGGAAGTTGTGATTGGCTGGGAAGCCTTGGGCTGCTGCTCCTGTGTCCTCACTGTGGAGGGGTGGAGGTACCCAACGGCAGGGAGATGCTTGCGCCAGATCTCTGGGGCCACATGTGCCCGTGCTGCCAGCCTGAGGTGAATGGAGGAGGTGGGCAGCCATCCCAGTGCTGCCCCTCGCACATGGCTGATGGAGGAACAGCTCACTTCTCTAAGCCCGAGTGCTGCAGGTGTGCTGGTTTGCATAACCCTGCAGTTCTGCTGGCATGGCCTGCGCCTGCCTCTCAGTGCTGCAGCAAGTGGCTGATCAAGACCGTTTACGGTTCAGTGATGTTTCAGTTTTGGCACTTCTGCGTCTCTGAAGATTTGTATGATGCCATGTGAGTTAAGGAGGACTTGCTGCTCCAAGGGCTCTTCCCTTGGGGTTGCTCTGCCTTGGGAGGCTGCAGGCTCTGGCTGCTGTGCCTTTCCCTGCACAGTGTCCTGGCTCTGACGTGTGGGGTAGGTCTTGAAGCTCTAATAGATATGCTTAAACGCTGTTTTGTGTGCCAGGGAGTAGCATACAAGTGGGAAGCATTCCTTGGCTCCTGGGACAGGAACATGCCTGAGCTCTGCTGCTGTGAGTAGGGGGCAAAGCCCAGCCTCTCCGGCAGGGAGTTTTTCTTTGGGTGCAAATGCATGGCTAGGTCCTAGGTCTGTGGTTCAGGCTAGTCTGCAGCGGGTATTGGGTCACTTGTGTCCCCAGGGCATTGGTCTGTACTTTCCTTGACAGTTTCACCTCCAGACAAACCTGGCAGAAATCCGTCCATTAGCGGTGAGAAGCAAGAAAAAGAACGTCTCCAGGCCAGTGTCTGCAGCTCCCTCCGCACCTTCCTCCAGCAGCAGCCAAGCCAGACTGGACAGTTTCCTGCAGTGAGAGCCCCTGCCTTCCCAGGGAGCGGCTGGGCCGCAGGGCAGAGCGCACTCGCCCAGGGCCTGGCACGAAGCAATGCGCAACCACTGCTGTGCCGGGGGCTACTGTTTGCAAAGCACTGATGCTGTGTTGTGGGTGAGATGAGCTGCCCTGGGGAGAATCCTGGCCTTGTAGCAAGCCGACAGGAGACCAAGCCTCTGGTTAATGCTTGGACTGATTTACCCCCCTCATTTTACCCCTCCTTCCTCCTATTTTCAAGCAGAATAAACAGGGTTTTCTCATCTTCTGGCCTGCTCAGAGCTCTACAGTTGCTGCTGCTGTTGGGCTCTCTGACACCAGGTGGAACTGCACTTCTTGGATGCAGCCACAAGCTAGGGGTGCGGGAAGGGTATCTGGGATGTCAGTCCGGAGCGAGAGCGGGGAGAAGGGACCTGGACCAGCTCTGTACCTGGTGTAAATAGTTCAAAGAAAGTTTCCTGGAGTAAGAAACATGCACAGGGCAGAGCAGCCCTGGCCCACATTGTTGCAGGGTGGCTGCATGTTCCTTATCAGATCCATCCGCTTCCCTGTGTTGCAGGGCCTGTGTGGGTTGGGGAGACCCACAGGCAAGGCTGGGGGATATTCTGCCTTGTCCTGGTTTGGGCCATGAAGTCCACTGGGTTTTTGCAGGCTTGGCACTGAAATCGCTGACTTGGGGAGGAGGGTGTTGGGGGTGACCCCCTGCCCTGCTTGGAAGCAGGGAGATCAGTGTGCTGATGTGACCTCTGTTCTTGGCACGTGTTGGTGTGAAACTCATTTATTAATTTCTATTTTTTTAATGAGATTGTAGGGGGTTTTGTTCTTTTGTAACTGGTCTGCCTAGTGATTTGAGGGTTTGGAATGGCCTGAAGAAGTGCTGAAGAGCAGCTCCCTTCAGGGGAGGAGGGAGACTGATGGGGCTGAACCCGTCTGGGGTTCTTCAGCTTGGAGACATGGGACAGGAGATTCCCCCTTGCCCCGCGGCTGGAGCAGGGCTGTTCAAGCTGCAAGGAACAGACTTGGTGAGGGACCTCGCTACAGCACTCTCTACTGTACAAATCCGTGATGTTTCCTATTTCCAGCTGCTTCAGGCTGGAAGCCTCAGTAGCTGGACTGGCTAAAAACATGTCTTCAGGGAATAAAATATACGGCCGTGCACACTTGTTAACACAACTGGCTTCTGAGTGGTTTCCTCCCTAGTGCAGCTCCGGGTGGAGGGCTGAGCTCAGGCGCTGAGCGTGGGATGATGGATGTGCCTGACCCTTCTGAAACCTTTGGTGCCAGCTCTCGGGAGATGGGGCCCCTGCTGCAGGGAAGGGCTGTGGTGGGGTGAAGCCATGATGAAAGTGGTGCTGATCCCCAGGGCAGCGAACAAGGCAAATGCCTGCGGAGCGTGAGCTGTGTCTTGCCTGCATCGCTTGGGGCTGACTGCTGAACAACGTGGAATGGGTTGAGAGTCTGGAAGAGCATGAGAAGAGGGTTCAGAGGGCTGGGAAACACACCTGGGGGGACTTAATCAAGCAGAGTTAATTCTGGAGAAGAAAAGCCTGGGAGAGGGTCTGCAGTGAGCCTTTTGCCTACCCTCTTGTGTGGTGCCCTTGTCCCTTCGAGGTAGGTACCCTGTGTGTGTGACAGACTTGCTCTAGATCTCTCTGGCCTGAAGCAAGTTCAGGGAGATCTTTTTAAGAAGGCAGCAGTGAAGGTCTGGGTGTGTGGCTGGTGAGGGATGTGGGCTTCCATGTTGGGGTGCTGGAGAGCTGCTGATGTGTCTACCCCTAAAGGCAGAGCCGGTCCCAGCCTGCAGTGGAGGAATTGAGAAGGGTTTTCAGGGCTGTCCTGCTCTAGCCCGACTTTGGGGACCTGTCAGAGCCGGGGGGGGGGGGGGGGGGGAAGTGTTTGCATGTGAGCAAGCCAGCCCTGTCCCCCGCTTAGCTGCGGCCCCGGGGCCACCCTGCCTGCAAAGCTCAGCCCCATGGGCTGCGTAGCCCAGCGTCCCTTCCAGTGGGAACAGCAGCACCTGTGTGAGCTGGCATTTTTGTCTTTGACTTCTGCAGGACTGTTGCCTTCTGTTACTTTAATCTGATTTCTATTTGAAAATAAACTCATCCTGGGCCAAAAAGTTCTGCTCAGACTGTGGTGAGCAAAGGACCTTTGTTTCGGTGTCGCTTGGTGTTGGCTCTGCCCGTTGCGTCCCCGGGCGGCATTTTCCTCCATCTCCCACGATCTCCTAAGCACGTTTAAGTCGGGGCTCGCGTGCCTGGGCTGGGCAGTCAGCTGCTGGGCACTGCCGGAGCCCGGGCTGCTGCTGCCGGCTCCTCGGACCTCTGCTGAGTTTAAGGTGGATGGTTTGAGTCGTCTGCCTTTGGGAGAAGAAACAACCAACAAAAAAAAAAACAAACCCACAAAAACCAACAAAAAACCCAAAACAACATTTTGAGTGTTTTGGTTTTTTTTTCCTGTTCTGGCCATCTTCTCTGTCCTGATCCCCTTTCCTCCCTTCCTGCACTCTCCGGCTTCCTCCATACTTGCTGCTTTTGGAAGTTCTTGTTCTGTTTTTGTGTTCTTTGCTGTGTTTTTGTTCTGGTTTATTGCCCTTACCCATTGCCCCTGCCCAGAACTGCAGCCTTTTTGCTCTTGCTGGGCGGTTTCAGCTCCTCCAAAGCCGCCTTCCTCCTGCCGTTGCCCACTTCGCGCCCTGGCCCTGGCCCCAGCAGCACGTGGCTGCTCCCTGGGCCCGAGGGATGCGCGGGGCAGGAACGCCGGCGCAGCAGCGTCGGCGGTGCCGTCTCCCCGGGGCGCATTGGAGCCGGTTTCTATTTCTGTGGCAGCAGAGGGGAGGCCAGACCCAGTTTCACGTTTATTTCGGCTGTAGCGTGCCCGTGCTCTCGCACAGCCTGGAAAAAGCAGCTGCTGCCGCGGCTGGGGCTGGGGGTGAGCGGCGGGGGGGGGCCCGCGGCTCCCCTCCCGGGG